AAAAAAAAAAAAAAAAAAAAAAAAATCAGTAAAAACCTTTCCAATAAAGTCATTTTTTTCCTGCCTTTTTCTCTCCTTCCACCATATTTGATCCATGCATCCGTTTCATTCATCACTTACTAAGCACATGTGGTTTACTCTGTCTTCAAATTGCGTTGCTTCTTTCAGCTAAATGCCTCCCATATTAGCCTTTCTTTCTTTCTTTCTTGTTTTTTTTTTTTTTTGAGAGGTTTTTGCTATAGAGTGTGAGCGCTTGCCAGACAGACAGAGACAGAGAGACAGAAAGTGAGAAATCACCCCCCCAGTGGGGATGACCATGCCACAATCCCTTCTCCTTCATTCTCCTCTTGGAATCTTGGGCACACATGCACACATGCCTGGCATGAGTTTTTTAAGCCACCGGGACAGGGACTCGAACCACAGTCGACTACATGGGAGTTCAGCGACATAGCCATTACACTAACTGCTGGTCCCCCATATTAGTCTTGATAACGGGGTATTACCATGGTTCTACTCCTCAGACTTCATGTATTGTTCATTGTAACATCTTCCTGGTTTCCTTGGCTTGAGTGCAGGAGTGGCAAATCCATGATATCTACGGCATCATGTCTCTGTTCTACATATGCCCAGTTCATCGCATATACTTGTCGTCTCCAGAACCTCAGCACACCAGTCCTTGACCTCACACCGACTAAGCAGCCTGGTGCAGGGAGGAAACCTATTTGTCAACCCATCCTAGCGTCCACCTCCTACCTTTCTAGATGCAGTCTCTCTGCAGGGAAGATCTGTCCAGGCTCAGGGAAGATTCCCTCTAACTTCCCTCTATCAGTGTGGCTCCCTTAGCTCTCCTCAGTCTCATTGGCATCACTGCTTATGGCTCTGCTTTTCCTCTAGCTGTTTGCTTTGGCAGTTGTCACCCAACTCCTTTCCACTCTCCTGAATCTGCAAAGTTCAGAAAGCCCTACCTTCTCCTTGAAGCTCTCCCCTATTCCTGTAGTCACATTCACCTCTTCCTGACCTCGACTCCTATTGCTCAGAGTGTATTTTGTGTTGTTTCAGTTAGCTTCTTCATATGTTAACAACCTTATTGAGGTATAATTTGCATGCTATAAGCTTCATGTATTTAAAATGCAGAATATGTTAAATTTGGACATAGGGATATCCCATGAAACCATCCCACAAGCAGGATCCTGTGGGTACCATGCACTGTAGAAGTTTCTTCATGCCCCTTTGTTATACCTTCTTTCCTCTGTTCTTTACTCCTCCTTGCCATGCAACCATGGTTCTATTTTCTGTTACTGTAGATTAATTTGAAGTTTCCAGAATTGTACATAAATGCAGTCATGTGGTATGTAGTATTTCTTGTCTGGTTTCCTCCACTTAGCATAATTATTTTGACACCTACCCATGTATCAGTATAGTTCGTCCATTTTTATTTTTATTTCTTTTTAATAACAGAGTGGTATTCTATTATGTGGGAACCACAGTTAATTTATCCATTCATCTGTTGAAGGATACATGAGGTTTTTGTTTTTTTGTTGTTTAGTTTTTGGCTATTGCAAATTAAGGTGCTTTGAGTATTTACATAGACTAAATGTAGGCATATACTTTTATTTGGCTTGAGTACATTCCTACATGGGAATGGCTTGGTCATCTGTGTAGGTGTATGTTTATTTTTGTAAGACAGTGCTGATTTCAGAGTGGTTGCACCATTGTACTTTCCATCAATGGTGTATGAGAGTGCCATCCTTTAGGCATTCTAAATAGGTGTGTGGCAGAATCTCATTGTGGTTTTCATTTGTATTTCTCTAATGAATGATGGTGTTGAGACCCTTTTAATGAGTTTATTTGCCCTGTATATCATTTTTGGTGTAGTATCTGTTAAAATCTTTTGCTTATTTAAAAAAACTAGGTTGTTGTCATATTACTGAGTTTTGAGACTTCATTATTTATTCTGAATATCAATCTGACCCTCACAAATTGCAAGCCAAGAGGTCTTGTTCTGCCTGGTGCCATTTACACTGATCAAACCAGACCAGGTGTGATATACCTGAACAGAACTTTATTCTTTGTCCGAAGAATGAAGAAGAGGGAGCTAATGCTCCAAAGGCGTCTTTTCCCTGCATGGGAGTTGAGTTGCTACTTTTATAGAGGTTGGAGCTCCACTTCTTTTGCACTCGGCGTGGTTTGGACCCTGCACAATTTCCATTCAGCCACTCTTGGAGTATGCTCAAGTCCTCTTTTCTCCCTCCTCTTTTAAAATGTAGTGAATTATACTGATTGATTTTAAAAATTTTATTACTTTATTTCTTCTGTGAGAGAGAAGGAGTGAGAGGAAGCCACACCCAATAGGGACTTCATGCCATGATCCATCTCAACCTCAGCCAGCCTGGATCATGGGCACTCATGCACCTGGCATAAACAGGAAGGCTTCGGGATACATATCCAGGTTCTCTTCTTGTGGGTTCAGTATCATAGAACATTGCATTACTGCTCTGTTACCAGCTGGGCCTTGACTGATTTTTGAATGTTAAAACAGACTTGCATTCTTCAGATAAACCCCAATTGGTTATGAGATATTATCCCTTTTATGTTTTGTTTAATTCAGTTTGCTAAGTTTTATTTATGTATTTATATTCATAGGACATATGAGTTTGTGACTTTCTTTCCATTTCTTTGTCTGATTTTCGTATCAGGCAAATGCTGGTCCCCTAGGACGAGTTGGGAAGAATTCCCTCCATTTCATTGTGCTGGAAGATTGTAAAGAGTTGATCTCCCAGTCTTTACTTGTTGTACACTTTGGGGATAAAATGAAATAGATAGTGATAATTTTTCTTTTCTAGTGTTGAATAAAATATTTTTACACCATGAAAGTTATTGTGTTTGGGTTCATGACTACAGACCAGTGAAGATGCATCCAAGTCCATCTGGGGTCAGGAGGGCTGCTGAAATCAGCACCTCATCGCGAGGCCTCCATGTCTTCGCCCACCTGCAAAAAGCACAGTTGCCTCATGTGTAAAGCTGTGTAAAATCAAGATTGTCACTGAAAAAGCAGTTACCGTTACAGTAGATGTTGCTCTTCTGCTCAGCACTTCACATGCATTATTTAATTTACATGGATCATTTAATTTTTATGGATTATTTCATTTTTATGGAGTATTTAATTTACTGGGATTATTTAATTTGTATGGGTGATTTAGTTTACTTGAAATATTTAATTTAATCACAATAATGCAATAACAAAATGGAGGCACAAAGACATTAAGCAACTTGCCCCAGCCAATACGTGAGCAGTGAGACCCTTTAACTCTGGCAGGTGTTTAGACATGAGATCTTGCCATCTCTGCACCAAGGCCTTACCTTATCTTCTGTCACACTGGCTTCCCTTGGTTTTTACGCTTCCTAGTGTCATCCTCTGAATTCATCTTGGTTTGTCTGTCTTCCCCCAGTACAATGCATGAGCACATCAGTTTGCATTGTATCCTGTTCTGTCCCATGTCCTGGTGCCCAGAACCATTCTTGGTATATGGTAGGCTATTGCTGAATATCTTTACACTTAATTTCACTAGTTATGAATGTAAAACTACTTGAAAAATGAACATAGGATGTATGGAATTATAATTAAAGAAAAAGGAACCATAGAGATGTTTTGGTCCATGGCACCTTCTGTTGTTCTCTGCCTCAGGAGAACTTAACAGGATATGTTTGAGAACTACTAGCCTGTAGGAAGTCCTTCTATGGAAGTTTGCAGGCCAGTCAGTGGCATGGAAATTAAGATGGCTGAATTTCACTGCATGGTTTGAGTCCTGGACCCTGTCGTTTGAAAAACATACCAGGCAAATGATTCTGCGCATGCCCAGAATCCTGAAAGGAGAAATGGAGAAGGGATTACTGTGTGACCATCCCTCATGTGGGTTGCTTTTTCACTTTCCCTCTCTTTCTATCTCTTCTAAATTTTGCCCTCCAACAAAATTTAAAAAAAAAGGAAATTTGTAGTGGTGTGATTTGGACTCACATAAGCTCTAGGAGAAGGGTACATCCAGTTTGTCCTCCTGAGTTCTGATGACACAGTAGGGCTTAGGCATATACTGGAGCCCTTCCTTATCTGTGCTAGATCTTATTTTTTTTTCAATTACAGCAGTGTGAATAATTGTCTTGGGGGTGTCTCTCCAGGAGGATGTGTGCATGTAGCTTGTGGATCCTGCATTTCTTCCACTTGTGTAAATTCCAGTTCCAGAACTGCTAGGACTCTAAAGTCGTCTAGTTTCCTTCTGCCGTCCTTCTCCCTGTGTAGGAGACTTGGAATCAGCCTCAGTTTGACACAAAATGTTTCCTACTTATGGAGATTTTAAAGTTGTTGAAGAGGCTGAGCCTATTTAAATCAACCATC